TTTGTTGGGATCGAAAATTATTTGGCTGTGAGACGTAGTAGCCCCAGAAATGCCCTAAGTCTCAGTGCATCATCGGAACATGTTTCTTGCATAGGGAGAAGAACATGGAATCATAGAACTGTCTAGGTTGGGAGGGACCTTTAAGGTCATTGAGTCCAACCATCAACTTAACACTGCCAAGTCCACCACTAAACCATGTCCCTCAGCACCACGTCTACCCATCTTTTAAATCCCTCCAGGGATGGCGATTCCCCCCCTTCCTTGGGCAGCCTATTCCAATGTTTGATAACCCTTTCTGTGAAGAAATTTTTCCTAATATCCAGTCTAAACCTCCCCTGGTGCAACTTGAGGTTTATGCCTCTTGTCCTATCACTTGTTAGTGGGGAGAAGAGACCAACCCCCGCCTCACTACACCCTCCTTTCAGGTAGTTGTAGAGAGTGATAATGTCTCCCTTCAGCCTCCTTTTCTCCAGGCTGAACAATCCCAGTTCCCTCAGCCACTCCTCATGAGACTTGTTCTCCAGACCCCTCACCAGCCTCGTTGTGCTTGTCTGTACTCGCTCCAGAATCTCAGTGTCTTTCTTGTAGTGAGGGGCCCAAAACTGAACACGGGATTCGAGGTACGGCCTCACCAGTGCCAAGTACAGTGGAACAATTACTCCTCTGGTCCTGCTGGCCACACTATTTCTGATACAAGCCACCGTACCATTGGCCTTCTTGGCCACCTGGGCACATTGCTGGCTCATATTCAGCCAGCTGTAGACTATACCCCCAGGTCCTTTTCTGCTGGGCACCTTTCCAGCCACTCTTCCCCAAGCCTGTAGTGCCGCATGGGGTTCTTGTGACCCAAGAGCAGGACCTGGCGCTTGGCCTTGTTGAACCACATACCATTGGCCATCGCCCATCGATCCAGCCTGTCCAGATCCCTCTGTATCGCCCTCCTACCCTCAAGCAGATTGACACTCCCGCCTAACTTGGTGTCATCTGCAAACTTTCTGAGGGTGCACTTAATCCCCTTGTCCAGATCATTGATAAAGATACCAAACAGAACTGGTACCACTACTGAGCCCTGGGGAACGCCACTTGTGACCAGTCGCTGACTGGATTTAACTCCATTCACCACAATTCCCTGGGCCCAGCCATCCAGCCGGGTTTGTACCCAGAGAAGAGTACACCCATCCAAACCATGAGCAGACAGTTTCTCCAGGAGAATGCAATGGGAAACAGTGTTGAAGGCTTTACTAAAGCCCAGGTAAACAACATCCACAGCCTTTCCCTCATCCACTAAGTGAGTCACCTTGTCATAGAAGGAGATCAGTTTTGTCAAGCAGGCCCTGCCTTTCGTGAACCCGTGCTGACCGGGCCTGATCACCTCGCTGACCTGCGTGTGCTGCGTAATGGCACCTAGGATGATCTATTCTGTAACCTTCACAGGCATCGAGGTCAGACTGACACGGTACATCTAAGAGACATATTTTTCAGATAGACATGGTAGTTATCAGGTAAATGCATTTTGGAAAAGCGACTGAGGAAATAAGAGTTGCACTTGGTATGAGAGAGTTCTTCAGGTGCTCCTGGTTCCTTCTGTGGGGCAGCAAAGGAGAAGACGCCATAAAACAGACCCGAGCTGCTGCATATGCTAACTGCCGTGCTACTGAGTCATGGGTTTGCTCATGGTGCTTTATATGAATTTAGGCATGTTTAAACAATCATTTTATAATGTTAGAAGTTTTTTATTATCTTAGAATAAAATCTATTATGTCAGAAGTTAAAAGTAAACTATAACAGCAAAAAAGGCTATTTCAGATGGATACTTAGATAGGTTTTCATCTCTGGCAGCCAAAGTCTTTATCAGCTTCAGGTGAAACCATTTTTCCCTGATCTCTTAATCTGCTTCATTCTTAGTGACAGTTAAGGCATGCCGCAGTGCCTAATTGTGTTGCACTGATAGTATGTCTGTCTCTGTTTTGGACTGAGCTTCTCGGGTGCCAACAGCTAGTGCTTGTAACGTCTCCCTTCCATGTAGTGCCACGTAAGAAGGTTTTGTTCTGTGTTTGACTGCTTGTACTTTTGTCAGTAATACTTGGAGAACCTCTTATCCCTTATTGTCTTGACCTCTGTTCTATTTTAGCATAAAATACAGTCTCTGTGTAAAACATACATTATGTGTGATTATATAAAAGCAAGTGCATATAGCTAAATGTCCCTGTCTCAAAATTGTCTTTGCCAGTTATTATATAATTACAATGAGTGAGTAGTATAAGTGACAGGCATTTGCAGTGATTCTCAAGGAGAAAAATACTGGTGCTGTTTTTCTCTTTTCTTGCAGTAAAGGTGAATAGTAAATAATTTCTTCGTCTTCGATTTTGCGGGTGATATGATAGCTGCCCAGTGGTACTCCAGCAGGATGCAGTGTAGCAACTGGTTATGTCAGTGGTAGGATCTCAAACAGGGGCAAGCTCAAGGAGTTGATGAAATGCGTAGGCAGGATTTCATGATCTCTTCCAAGCTGTGGCTGGCACTTGTGTTGCGAAAAATAGAGGTTACTCACCACCATAAAAAGTTGCAGGTAGTACCTGGGAGCCAGTTGATCTTGGTGGAAGAGATATCTGGAACTGTTGTTTTGGCCTGTGGAATTACTCCTTTACAGAACTCACTTTTTAAATGAAGATTGATTTTATTTATTTTTTTAATTACTATAATTGAGCAATATTTTGAGATGATCACATATCAGCAGCTCTTCATTCAAAAAGAAAGACCTCTTTGCCTTAGTCAGCTTAAATCTATGAATAACTGTATTGGGAAATTAAATCTGCATAATAGTTTAAATGTTCAGTAATTTGTTTTCAAAATAGTACCTTAATTGGAAAATAAAATTAATTAACTCTTTATTGTGGATACCTGAGTTATAAAATTAGAAATTCAAAATAACATCTTCTTTCTATTATAGAAAAATCCTTTATATAATGCTCTTAGAAGTAAATGCAAATAATTTGTATCTGCATATATGTGAAATGCATTGGCATGCTTGTCAGCTCATGTTTGGATTTATACTTTTTCAGAACCTTTCATTACAGTGTTCTGTTTTCATTTTCTCCTATCTGTCAGAAATCTTTGTCTTTGGCTTGAAAGTTTCCCTGCTTTCTTTCAGGGTAGATACAAGGAAACTTAGGCGAAAGTGAATTTCCTTTTTTACTGAAACATCTGTTATAAATCTGTAAATTTAGTGAAAGCTGTAAATACTAGCCTAAAATTATAATCTTTGTGCAGCTTTCCTACCCGTAACGCTTAATTTTCACAACCATAGTAATACAAGTTTATTGCATACAAGTGTATCTTTTAAACAAGCTGTAAGAAATCTGAAAATTGAACTTTGTACATAACCATTCTCATGAAGAATTTGCTCAACAGTGTGGGTTGCATCTTCTGCTTAGCTGCTGAAACACGTAAGTTCAGTTGTTCTACTTCTGCAACTTTATTGAAGTAACTGCAGAAAAGTTTTCATAGCTTCCATTACCTTTTATCTCAGAGGGTGTACTGACTAACCGCTGAGAGACAGAAACTGTCCTGAGATTAGAAACGTTTGTTCTCAATTTTGTCAATAATTTTAGATATTATGTTAATTTACACTAAAGAAACAAAAATAACATGATGTTCATAATATTACATATTGAACTATATACAGGTTTTCTCTCCTGTATCCTTTAATACTGAATTAGCATAATACTAAACCCAAAATGGATTCTTTTAAATTTTCATTCTCTTCTTGATGTGTGTGCCTGTTTGTACTATGTCTGCCTACATAAAGCTGTGAAAGTAATTTAGGTGTTTATGGTCAGTGTCAATTCTGAATATGTTCAGTGTTTCATGTGTATCCCATACTTTGATGGAGATTCTTCTAAAGTTTTCAAATTTGTTTTTGTTACGTCTTCACACCTAATACCTTGTAACAGAGGTACTGGCTAGCTCTATAGATTTTTAACCCTTGAGACCACGTCTCAGTTCTCTCTCAAGAGTCATTGCTTAATGTAAACTTTGTTTTCAAATAAGTCTTGATCTATTTTAAGCAGATAAAGGGTTCCTGTGCCTTCCAACTTGCACAGGTGGGTGATAAAGTTGGATCAGAAAACTCAGTTGCACTTCATTCCTGTAGTAGATGTAAAAATTCATTGCATAAATTCTGAATGTAGTGCTTGATATCCACCCAGTACTGTTTACTTTTTCACCAATGCAACAAAGGTAGAAAGCAGAAAGTTTGTAATAAAACGTTGTTCCTAATCTAGGCCTAAGTCAAAGCTGCGGTTCTGTCCTCATAGAACAATTAAATCCACCTGTGTGCAATGCTTTTTTTTAAGCCAGAAATGTTTGCATTAGAGACTTATAAAAATTCCAGGATTAAATATTTGCCCCTTCCTTTTGCTCCCTTGTTTGTGTTCATAAGGTATCTGTCATTAGTAGATATCATGCCTGATTTTTAGCAGAAGAGAAAATTCAAACCGTCCTGTTACAGTTGTTTTCGGCCTGTGTCTGTAGACTGTTGTGGTCTGTTGAGTACTTTAAAAGATTTACAGAAGTTAACAAAGAAAAATGATCTTATTATCAAATAGTTCTAAATTCACTATGCAGGGAATGTAGGTATTCTCAGAAACAGAATAGTTCAGGAGATCAACATTTAAGGAAAGATTTTTTTAAAAAGGGAATATGGATGCTGCTCAAGATGTGTTGTGTAAAGTGTAACATACAATGTGATATTTCCATTCTGCATTGTCTTACATTTCTATAATTCATTTTTCCCATAGTAATTACATGGGGTTTCTCACGCTCAGTATTAGTAGGAGCCAGTTTTTCACAACAGTTATTTTAATCAAGTTTTGTTACAGATTTTACAACTGTCCATTATATTAAGATAACTGTATTAGCTACCTTTTTTTCGGAGGGCATACAAATGAACTGTCATTTCTACTGTAGGTAACTGACATTCTTTTGGTCTCCACCTGTAGGACCTTCCAGCCCCTTTGCTTGATGATACCTACAGAAATGAATTGGGAGAAGAAGCAACAGCTGTTAAGTCTGAAGATTTTCAGGATTCTATGAAAATAGCCTGGCGCTACCAAAATTTACCAAAAATGGAGGTACTCAGTATTTCATACTTTTTCCGGTTTACAGTCAAAATGAATTTGCAGAGCAGACAACAGAACTGCTAATGGACAGTGTTACAGGTTGGCCTCCTGAGGGTAAATTATCATATACCACAATATTTTTGATTACAATAGATACAGAGAGAAAGGGAATTTGAGAGTTTTCAGGAACTGTAGAACATAATACAGACAATAATTTATAAGCAATAAACATTAAAGTACCGTGGGATTTTTCAATGAGCATTTTTAAATTGAGGCAGCTTTTTAGGAAAGTTTGAATGATTTGGTCACTTACAAACTTTGCCCAAATTTAGTTGTACACAAATTACTTAAGTAGGTTTAATCAACGGGACTTACTAGATCCCTATAGTGAAAGTACTGTGTCGAAGCAAGCTGTTGACCTGCTCATCCATGTGCATAACTACTAAAGTAAGCACTTGAGATTGTATCAGCTTCACTGTCACTAGAAACTAATCACTGTGCAGGAAGAATATAAGAAACAAGTCCAGTGGTCGGTCTTTCAGACTTTACAGTTAGTGTTTTGTGAATAATATATCTCCTGTGGTTGGTGACTTTCTTACTTAATCCAATGGCACAATCAACCTTTAATAAAATTGCAGCATTTTTTACTATCTAGAACAAAAAACTTGTTTTGTCTATACATTTTAGCCTACATTTGTAAATTCTGGTTTAGTTGTAGTCATAACTGCCTAGTAAGTTCAGTTGTATTCTTAAAAAACATAATTGGAATGTGACAAAATGATCTTACAAGGCTTGGCATGTTTGGTTTTCTGTGAAATTGCACAGACATGGCTATATAGTTGTGTCAGAAAGGACTTATATATGATGACATGCCAAATCAAACAGCCTCCAGGGTAATCATAAAATCTCATCAATTTTATTGTTGTGGAGCTTGCTTGTGCCACTCTGAACCATCCCCAAAATGATGTCTGTTTTAAAATCCAGCAGAATTCCTTGTACATCAACATGGAAACAATTGTATGTCATTAACAAATAGTGTGCTGTGTTCTAACCAAATAGAAAAACGTAAAAATAATCCAGTTAGTTAGGTGTGCACTCATCCTCTGTAACTTCATAAAAGTAATCACTTCATCCACTAATGTAATATTTCTCTACATAACTTACCTGTCATTGATTATTGAAATTTGATTATGCAAGATAGAATAAAATGGTCAATCTTTTGTGGAGTGTTTCCATTGTTATCCAAGTTGGATGCTGATGATTCTGAATAGTTGAGCTACAATAATTTTTATGTATATGTTAATTTTATTTTAAAAAAATAAAACTTGCTAATAAAAATCTAAATCTTAACTTATCTATACCTAAAATTCCTCAGGGTATCCTAATTAGTGAAAAATAGTTTTGAAATTGATATTTTTTTCAATATTCTATGATGCAGTTATCATAACATTTTGAGGCTGTGCTAAATTAATTTGATTTGTGAATATACTCCATTGAGGAAAAAGCTGATGTTGCCTTGCAGCACCCTGGATGTTTAATACACTTAGTACTATCATTTAATTAACAATTTTGGTTGTGATTTATTCTTTAAATTTTCTTTGCCTGGAAAAAAATAACGTTGAATACAATTTCAAAATATATTTTCCAAACAGATTGAACAGATTGAAACTAGTACATTTTCAAAAACTACTGTCTAATAATTTCAAGTATGAAGTAGAGAAAATAGCTTTGCTTTTAACTAGAACTCTAAACGTGTTAGCGGAAGACTTGTCTGTCCAATATCTGGCTTTACGTGAAGTAAGAATGCTGAGTAAAAGTTGCCTTTGTGGTATTTTTGATGCCCAAGTTAGTTTTTATTTCTAAGTAATAAAAGAGATTTTCATTAATAGTGCAGATATTCCCGTCCCATTTATTAGACTTCATATAGACTGCTAGTTAACTCATCTTTGTTCTTATATTAGTACTCTTCATAACTATCGCAGTTGCTCTTTACATATTGCATATACCTTGTGCAGCAGAAAAAGACAGAAGATTTATAAGAAATCTGTCAGAGTAACAGGTCGCGTTGTGATTGATGTGCCTTTGCCAGTTTGTTGCTTTCATCTGTATCAGAGGTTAATTTCATTTAAACTTTTGAGTATACGGATAGCCTATTTTGCAATGCAAGATAGTGTGGGGGTTTTGGTGCTTTTTTTTTTTTTTGAATGAACTGCTTATGTTCTTGGGGCAATATATAAACTGTCACAGCATGAAATCAATTTTCTGCCTTGATTCATCCTAAATCTGAGATTTCTAGCACATTAGTATTGCAATTAGAAACATTAACGGCAGACGGTCGCATAAAAGCACGCTCTGCTCACTGACAATTTAGTGTATTTCTCCTTGTGCAAAATAGGAATCCGGGAAAGAAGAGGCTTGAGCCTCCGGTCCACTAATAAATTTATCAGCTCAAACTTAAGAGGAATGGAAGGTCTCTGCTTCGCGCTCTCCATGGTCGTTCTGCTAAGGCAGATTATTCATGCTTACTTGATTCAGGTAGGCTTTTTGCAAGCTTCCCCGCTAAGCCTGGGAATGCAGTACATTGAGGCCTATTCATGGGCTTCTGACATAGACCGAGCTTTTATTGCATGGTGTTTTATTATAGCCAAATCCTAGTCTCCACCCAGTTTGTAGGCACTGTGCTTATTCTTTTGAATCAAGAGAGGTTATCACCTACCTTAATCCATGCAGCAGGGTGGATTAAGGACACCAATGTGCCTCAGGATTCTCAAAGAGGATCCTGGAAACTCCTTGTTTCTTCTTTTTTGCTGTCTTTACTAAACTCTATTGGGCCTCAGTAAGGATTTGCATCTGAAATGGGCAACCTGGAGCTTTTCTCAATGAAGACATCAGATCAAAGTTCAGTTAGTCAAGGCCTTTCTAAAACATTAAGGGGGCTTGGAAGTACACAATAAAAAGATGAGCTCCGGCAGAGATTGCAGTAAAAACATTCTGATCGGTAATCCGGATAAAGAATAGATTATAGGCCAAAGAACAGCCCCTGTTTAAATTGCTTTCAGAATCCTTGTTTTAAATAAAGTTACATTTTACATTAAAAATATTTAGATTTTGATAGGTTGCTGTGTTTTGTTGGACTTCCTTCTTTAAAAATCGGGTGCTGATAAATCAATTGGAACACTGACTTAGAGAATGGGGTTTTCTATCTTTTTTGAGTAAAACTGATCTGCTTCTTACAACTAGATATACATGAGCAATTTTGTGCGTTTTTTTAATTAAAAACTAATTATTTGTTTTAATGAAAAGTTTGGGGTTGGTTTGGTTATTCTATTGTCTCTGTAGGAAAGATTTTATATTATTGTTACTATTTATATTCTCTGATAACTGACCAGGCCTAACATCCATTAATCAAGTCATTTCAAAATATGTACTCTAAATCAAATTATTCTAATTAATCTGAACAGTTTAATGTATTTTTGGTAAGCTGAAGCATGAAAGAAAATTGTGGAAATACATAGCATGATTGCTTTCAGAAAGCTAACTATAAATATGTGGCCATGTCTGGCATGTCTGTATTCTTCCCTTCTACTGTTATAGTACTTAATTTATTAGCAAGACCAAGGTTTATGAAAACCACAAGCTTTCTGTAATAATTGGAGTTGGAACTAAATGATTTGTTGCTCGACACAAAAAATTTTTTGGATCCCATTATTGTAATAATGGGGAATACCTATCGTCATTCCTGTATATAGCAAGAATAGCAGATGTTGAAATTGGAGCAGAAGTTGTTTCAAAAAATTTTCATTGCACTGAGAAACTTTTGAAATTATTGGGGGTATTTCTGGTCACTTTTCAAAAGTAATTCCATGCTTTTAAGTACAAACAAAATAGTATTTCATTTTACCCACCAATCCAAACTTCTCTTCTGAATGACCTTTAAAAGACATTCTGTTCTGCAGTGTGAGTATGTCTTCAACATCTCTCTTACTTTCAACTCTTACCTTTTCTGTCTCACCTGTTCTCTTTCACAACTGTTGAGATATTTAATTTTATTTTAATGCTTTATCGTTTAAGGTGAGGTGTCTCATGGTTCTTATGGGGGATTCAGCTTAGCAGTAAGTCTTGGAGTTGGGAGATAGAAAATTACTTAAAAATAATTTTGCACATTCCTGCACTGTGCAGTGCACACTTCGGATGCAGTCTGGGCTTAGGGTAGTTGTCCTCAAAATAAACTAATGGGTGATCTTTCTTTTGACCTGCAAAGCTGCTGTTAAAAGTCTAGGATGCAGCACCTTTTTTGGTTCAGGCGTCTTACCAGTTAGAAATATTACGGGTTTGATTGATACTTGTGTTACGAAACTTGTTATTCTAAATGACCTTCCTTTTTCCTCAAAAGAGTTAGAACAGTTGATGACAGATAATCTGATCAGGAGCACAGTGGTGTTTGTGCCATAACCTAAAGATCAATTTTAATGTTGCTTTGGTAATCTGTTACTCCTTTACAGTGTGTACATTAAAATATACTATACAGTGGTTTACATTTGTGCCAAGTGTTTTCCTTCCCTGGAAGAAACTAACTTGCCTCTGAGGTTTACACTGCTTGACTGTTTTTACCAGGATAGCTTTTTGTTTTTTTAATGAGAAAGGCAGAAAAGATGAAGAAAATGGATTGTTACACAAAGACCAAAAACTAGCAGACAGGTACTACTACATGGTTGAATGCTGCTTATTATAACAATCTAGGGATTTTTTAGTATCACATGTGTAATTCAAATAATGTTGCAGGTTGCATGCTGAACTCCAGTACTGTGGAACAAAAATATCCATTCATTTCCTCTATTCATTTACTAGCAAAACATATTCAAAATATGTAATTCCTGCTATGGTATATATTAAATTTGGGAGGGTCATGATGTTTGATATAGGCAAAATTGAGAGCTGATAAAAAAGTATCTTCATTATAGTAAACCATGGTTATTGTGTGTAATGTCTGTGTAGTGCTATACCTGCTCCTTATTCAAAATTCAAGAAAGTAAAAGTAGTTTTTAACTGTTTCCTCTTTTTTACAATTTTCTGTTAAAATCAGCTATATGAAGATGCAATGGTATTTTTTTCTTGCTGATCATAAATAAGCAAAGTGAAATATTTTCAAAAAGTCAACTGAAAATGTTTCTGTAGTGCCGTATATTTCATTCCCAGATACTGAAAAATCAGATATGTGGAACACATCATGATCTCCACATTTCATATATCTGACCTTTTGAAATTTGTGATCATATGGCTAGAACATGTGCAAAAATACATTCTTTTAAGTATCTGACTGCACTTTGGTGACGCAACTGGGAACAGTAAGGGTTGAACTCTGTGTGAAAAATTTGCGTTATAGAACGTCAGCAGGGGAACCAAAACTTAGTAGTAAATATTATAGAGTTGTTCTACTTGAAGCTTATACTTAAGCTGAATGGGGAAAAAAACCAGAGTTTCTTCAAGTGTATTGCTAGTTAATTATTTTCTTTTGATAGATAATAATTTAATATGTTTATTGTAATCAGTATTGTTGTTTCCACAGGCCAGCCCAACAACATCTACGAAGTTTGGCCATTATTACGATGTTTCTAAAACAATGTCTCCAGAACTGTTTCAGTCCATAAAATGGCATAGTTTTTACCTTCCCAAAGAATTGTCTTTACAGCCTAAAATGAAAACATGGTAAGTTTTAATACCGCGTGCTTCTGTTGTGTGTTCAAATTTTGTCTGCGTATTAGTAGTAAAGGATATTTTTGCATCTACACTTGCTGTGAAAATTCTTGTAGCCACGCATGGCTCACAAGCAGTTCAGCTGTGGTTCTCGTGTCAGTGCTACATGCCATGACCGGCAGCAAAGCTGCTGTGGCACAGAGACAGCTCAGTACACCAGCTCTTCAGCTGTGGGAGGAAGCAAGTTGGCAGGGACGATTAAGGTAGACATTACTAGGACAGCCTAGTCACAGCTGCATGTTCACTCCAACCCTACTGACAGCTGAGTGTGGGGACTGGGGAAAACTCTTGCTATCTGTCTGTGAACTACTCCCTGAGCAGCATGCCCCATCAGCTTTCGGAGATGTGTGTGTCAGGTGGCTATCAGTCTTAGGAAGATATCCATACAGATTTAGGGCTAAGAAGACAGGCCATCCTTGACCTACATAGCTTACAATGCTCTATCAGATTAGTTTGTTCTGTGACTTTTACTTCTTGCATCCTAGAGCTTCACCTAAGGAAAATACAAAACAGTGTGAACAGAATCACAATCACTAATTACATCTTACACAACACCCCTAATTCCAGATGAAATCATAACCTCTTCTCTGAATGAATAACTTATTATAGTTTATGTCTACCAGTTATGAATTAAGGAAGACCAAGAGAAAATGAGTGACAGTAGCAAAAACTCATATTAGCCTGTAGCACACATGTCCACCGTATCTTTCTTGGAGACATTTCAAGTCAAGTCAAACATCAAATATGGGCTAGTAATCTCTTTGTTCAGTCTAGTCACTTAATGTATATAATACCTAGCTTTATAGATCCCAGTGTACAGGGCCAAATCCTGGAAGTAGTAGTACGGTATGCTGTATTGTGATTGATTTTCATTACAGTACACTCAAATATAAAAACTGAGATTTATGAAAGAAGTGCAGCAAGAAGCACCTTTTTTAGAGATGTAGAAAAGGAAAAGCCAAGACTCTCTGTAATTTGTTTCTGTGTACATGATCAAATGTCACTGGTTTGTAAAGTAAATTCTTGTGAAATTGTAAAAAAAAAAAAAAAACAAAAAAAAACACATTTTCAGGAGAAAGCAGAGAACTTATGTTTTATTCTTTCTATAGTAAATATGTGAAGCAGCTTTATTTATGTATTATGTATAAATTTAAATTTTTTTTACTAGCAGGCTCAAAGAGGATAGACAGACACAAGAGTATCTGCCTCAATAACAGTATAAGCACTTGCAAGCTATTTAACTCCATTTCTGTCTTTTCTGTAACTAACTGGGATGTCTCGTGACTCTGGGCTTAATTCCACTAACTATATGGCTGTCAAGTATTTGTACATTTCACATTAAAATCAAATTAACTCGTATGTATAGTATAGGAAATGGACTTTAACTTCTATGCATTCCATTTTATAAGCCGTGCTTAACTCTGATATTTTCCTTCTGTGCTATCCTGATAAAAACTCGTCATTCTCACCATATGAAATCTATACTTATTTTTAGTTCTAATATAATGGAAGGATTAGATTTAGTTAATTTGCTTGGCAAGTTGGTAGAGCACAAAGTGATGAGGTGAGGAACATGATCAAATAAAGATGGATCTCAGAAGGCTTATCTCCTTTTCTTCTCCCTGCACCCACAACATCGGCCTCCTTTAAGAGGACTGTCCTGAGGAAATGAAAGAATTGTTGGGGGTAAAAGCAGGTACCAAGGTAACAAACAACCACCATTCTAAACATTGTTTTCTTAGACCACAATGCAGTGTGATAAGCAACAGGGAGGAATAAAGAACACATTGGGATCAGTGACCTCAGACAGAAATCTGTGGGAACTGTGAAGAGGTGTGTACGTCTCTTTCTTCATTTACAGTAGATCATTTGTCTTCCAACTTCAATTATTGTCGTTCCTGACCACAAACACCACTGGTTTTGGATTCCGTGTATTAAAAAGGTTGCACTAGTCAAGGTTAAGACAAGGTGGGAAGAAGAATTTTTCCAAATTAGAGCCTCTGAAGTAAAGCTTATTTCCCTGTAGAGAAATGGAAGACTTAATCTTCCTATAATTACAGTCACTCAATTTTGACACACGTTTAAAAAATAAACTGAATTAGAATTTCATCTTCTGTTCATCAGTGTTGTATAACTGGAGTTCTTAAAAAATTATGGAAGTGGAGAAAAGCTGCTTCTCCCATTACCCCGATCCCCAAATTGATCTGCACCTAGCACAGTTAATATCAGCAAATTGGACTACCCACTTTACATAAGGAAAGACCAGGTTAGAAAATACATGAATGTTTTCAAGGTGGGGCCTAAAGTTCATGAGTAAAACATAAAGGATTGTCAAAGTTCCACAAAGTCAAAAAGGCCAAAGCAATGCCTGTCTGTAAGGAAAGGAGAAGGTGAAAACATCTGTGGGATAACATCAGTGGTCCAAAAAATACCAGAAAAAACAATGAAATCTATTTTTAAACTTCTAGGGTACTTTCAACCAGTACGTGTTTCCTTTGTTTGCTTATGGGTATAGTGTCAAAAGGCCCTAAATTAAAACAAGAGATATTCTCTATTGGTAAAGTCTGTTATCATGTCAAAGGACGAACATACACTGGTTTGACTTTTGTCATGTTGATTGTTAAATCCTTATCTTCTAAATAAGCTGTCGTTTAGTCACAGCTGAACCTGAGTGAAGTACCAGGCTTTATCCCAGTGTTGGGCCTGGCAGTAATCTAGTACTAATTTGGCTTGATATGTATACTGAGCAATGGGTTTCTTTACTACAGTCATAATGTCAAATCTGGAAAAAAGTGGAAGGAGTAATTCATGCAGATTAGATAACAGAATTCAAGAAGATTTAGGTTGGTGATCTGGAATAAACTATATGGAATTCCATGAAGACATGCCAAATATCATACCAGTAAGAATCATTAATTGAACAAATAAAATAGCGTAGCAGGTCTCGAGAAGAAGATCTGGGGTTACAAAGTATCTCGAACATGAAATATGTTAGCAGTATGGTGTGATTGATGCTACCAAAAGGCATAGTTTAAAAAGCATGGAGGTGATAAACTGGAATTTAATGTGGAAAACATGCAAAGTACTTCTGTTCTGCTGAGGCATAACAAGGCTGTCTGTCCAGTTTTTGATAGCATCCTTCAGGACAACTCTGGATCAGTTAGAGAAGGTTTGAAGATGGTTATACATCTAGAACTGGGATGTACAACTCTGGATCAGTTAGAGAAGGTTGTGAAGATGGTTATGAGAAGGTTGTGAAGATGGGATGTATGGCCCGTGATGGAAGAATGGAAGGCCTTAGACAAATCTAAGCAGTCTTGAAGCACATTAAAAACTGTCATACAGAGGGTAGAAACTGTTGTCTGCTGAAGGTGGGACAAGCAGTAATGGGCTACAGTAAACTGTGGCAGTAGAAATACAGGCTGGAAATAAGGAGATATTTTTCTGATGATTAGCACGAGAAGAAGTTGCCTTGCAGACACAGGTTGGGAATATTGCAGAATTGCCATCATTGAAAATTTCTAAGGACAAGTTAGGTAAATATCTGTCAGACATGGTTTAGATGTAGTTCATCTTGCCTTGGGGCAAGAAGATAGACTACCTGACCTCTCGAGGTCCTTTTCATCCCTATCTTCTGTGATTCTTTAATACACATTAGTCACAGTGTATTAAATCCAATACTAAGTATGAATGTTACCAATTATTTCACTGTTCTCATAACGTTTATGCTTTTACAGAAACCCAACAGGCTTGTACTCTATTTTTTACAAATACTGTGGTGAAATTCTGAAGGAAGCATTACTTTCTCAAGGAACGGAAACAAGCTCACAATCCTGTCAGGATGATTTCATTAAAGAAAGTTTATAAATGGAGGAGGGAAAGGACATTATTTTGTTGGCATTACTGTTTGGAAAATCAGTATCATGCTTCTGGCTTCTAGAGCTAACTTCAATAGATCATAGAATAGTAAAAATTTCTGTTCCCTCGATTAACTGGACAGTGATTTGAAAGAAAGTAATATGATAGTCCCAGTTAACCCTTCCAATAGAAGTCAGCGATTTGTATTAGACCTCATTTTTGATTGCCTGAAGGTCCCACTGAGAGCTTGAGCTAACCTCTTTTACTCTGTTACAGTGAACTAGGAACATAGACGTGTCTAGTTAGCATGTCTCCACTTAGAGGATATAATTTCTTAAACGTAAGGTTCTATGACGATAGTCTTACCTACATAGCCAAAAAACCACCTGCTCGCATAATGCTAATTACCTATATAGCGTTGTGGAATCTCTGTAATCTATTAGGCTGACAGTACCTCAAAAAAATACTGATAGCCTGGAAGGAATGAAAAAAAAATGTTACAAAAATGACTTGAAATTCGGAAAATCTCTAAAAATATGATTTTTTTTCAATTTACTTCATCTAAAGAAGATTGATAGAAAATGTGTTAACACTGAAAGCTGACAAATCCTTCAAAATTAAGGAGGCATTTTTAAGGGGATAGTTCATTATTGAAATAATTTGCATTAATAGGCTATGTATTATGGGATGTTAGTGAAAGACTTCATGACTTTCTAAAGGGTATACTTTGCAAGATATGTATCAGTAAAGACATTTTTGAATGAAATTTTCTCTTAACTCACGTAGGAGTGCCGACCAAAATCAGTGGTGTGTTGTTTTTTGCATTTTTATGATCTGAGAACATTCTGCTTTTGTCACTAATACAGCAGTTGAGGACGAAGTGAAAACTGACAGTTTTGCCTAGCTTGTAATATTCCGTAAGTAAATGGTATTGTTGATGGATGATACCTCTTAGTAGTATCAGAAGCTGCAAAAAAATTAGGAATTAGAAAAAACAAAACAAAACTTTTCCCTTTTCTCAAAATGTTTCCACATTATTTTAGCTAGCATGATCCATTGTAAGTATTTGTAATGTAGCAGAGCACAGCATGGTTTAAGTTCAGACTGACATAAATTTTTATAGTCCTGTAACTACAGCTGTTGAAGAGGCACCTTAAATTACACAGTCATCACGGAAAGTGTACCTAACCCAACATATACATTCTACATTGAGGTCATAAGCTATATGTTCTGCAGTGAAAAGCTACTAATTGTAAAGAAAGATTTTAGAAGCTCAGTATATATTTTTATTGCACTATTTTGATTAAATCATCGTATGTACTGATGTGAGGGAGGTGTTCCCTAGGTGGTGTCCTTTTTGTATGTTTGTTTTTTTTTTTCCTTATAAAGCCCTGCTACTTTTGTATGCAGTTAATGTTCCTCAAAGAGTGTATTTGACCTGTAACTTGTTAGATGCACCTAGAATTCACCTTGTTGACCAGCTTTACTTTTCCCTTTCATTTTTAATTAGAGGGTGACTAGCTTTGGCGGCCTTAGGTTTCATTTTTCCTCCTTGAAATTAGGAGCAGTTCTCTTCCCCAAACCTTCTTTTCTTTGGGAAAGGGTGAGAAACAAGAACAATCCTTTGCTCTCTTTTTCTTTCACCACTCAGGGATGTACTGAGAAAGAACAGATTATACAGTTAAAGCAGCAAATATACAAGAAAAGTAATGTACCCCATTTTCCTGTACAGCTTATACTCTCCTAACAGAAACAGTGAGTGTAGTGAACATACATTTTACAATCCTTTGAAAAACAAAGTGCTGCATCTATTAATGAGCAAGGTCCTTCGTCATAATGTTTTGTGGCATAAGAACCCTGTGTTTGTAAAAATGACCAACTCATCTTGGTGCTTCTAATTCTCTAGCGTCACGTTAAGAAACCTATTTTATTAAACTGTTCTTCAGTGAGTGAGCTGTCTCTGTGATTGTAGCTAATGTCTGTTGCAAGATTACAGTGCTTCCCTTGCAGGATCAGAGATGTAGAGGCTTTATTTGGGCCAGAAACTCTTGGCCCTCTTTAGAAATCATGTATGTCTACGTGTATGTCTCTCTCTTCCTATCCACACAAGCATGTGGCTTCTTTATGGACTTGCAAAGAAAGCAGATTCTTTGGTTAGACAGAACAAAGTTATTGGCTGGCCTTTTACTTTGCAATTAAATATATCAGATTTGGAGGTTATATACATCATTTGTTCACCTTAAAGTTTGGATCAATCTTTCTTTCCTTCCCTGTCTTTTTGCACGCATGTGTGTATGTCTGCTCTTTGACGGAGATGAGGAGGACTGCGTTTGCTCTCCTTTCTGTAGTTCTGGTACCTGATGGCTAAATTAGATTACAGGGTCCCGTTTTGGATAATCACTCAGGATGGGTGGAAGTTCATTGCCCCACAATAAACATTAATTGAAAACAGATTGGGAAGTCCGTTCTCCTAAAGGAAGTGGTAAATGGGGATGGGTGCTTGGTGCCAGAAGAAGGCATAAAGCTTCTCTTTCTTATCTCATGATTTTTTATGTTAGGGAAGGGCAGTTATGTCCTGGCCCTAATGCTGGGACCAGGTTAACGGGGTTGTGCAGCTGACAGCAACTGTTCTCCGGTTGTTGTTGCTAGGATATTCTGGTGTCCTCGTTGAATTGCTAAAGCAGGTACTTAACAGGAAGGCAGAAATATCCTCTGTGGTAACTCTGTGCATCGCAGAAAAGGCTTGCTTTCTACCCCTCTTACTTTACTTCTATCCTTGTTGTTTGGTTGAAATTACCAAAAGAGAAAGTTTTATAATCAAGGGACCTAAAATAATTAGGCTGTATTTTTTCAGTAATGCTCATAAGTTTTACCTTAAGAATGTATGTGCTTTAAAAAAAAAGAGAAAAAAAATATCTAGTCTAGATTTACTGATAAATTTAGATAAAACAGTTTTAACTGTCTTGCCTAATGGGGTCTCCCTATACATAATAAGGCTATTTGTCATACCCTTGATAACCTAACCTTTGTTAACTGCTTAGAAACTATCAACAGAGAAGTCAGATGCTCCGTTGTAACCGGGATACCTTCTTGCCAGCTCCTGCTTTATCCATTACTAAATTGCTAAACAAAAAAAAAGTAAAGAAGGAGTTGTTTAAACTCATTATCAGAATTAAATGGTGTTTAGTTACAAAGCCAAAAGAAGAGTAGAAATTAGAAAATAAAAAAATATCTTATTTCCTTCCTTGAATATTATGACAAACATTGCCAGAAGGGTAATGCAACTTGTTTTTATAAACAGTGTTTCCACAATATTTTTCATGTCCTTGTTTACATAGCATGGCTCAAATTCAAGTAAACCTTTAATATTTTAGCCAGAAGTAAAACAGCACCTGTTGTTACATTTAAAAAAAAAAAAATCTGTGCGTTACATTATTTTTTTTAATACTTTCTTTGCTACAGATCTTTTTCTGATGGTTTGTTTGTTTTAATTTTGGGACCCTCTAATCCTGCTCATGCTTTAGGTATTTTATTCTTTTATCCACTAACTTTTAAAAGCAAGTTAGTAACAAATCAGGAATTGGCAAGTATTGGGATTGCAGAATATTCTCTGACTTCCCTATAGATAGCATGGTAATACTCATAAGCAAAATAAGTGATAGATACACAAACTTAAAAATGCTACTTTGTGGTGACAAAGACCACAGTCACCTTTTTGTATCACACATAGTGTAATGTGGCTGTGGCTACAAGATAGTTGCAGACTCCTTCCTAATGTTGATGAGCAACAGTTTCTGCCTTTTCCAAAAGGATAAAGGAATATCCAAAAGGATACAGAAATACTTCTGTTGATTGTGAAATGCTGTAGATTCTCTCCAGTTCTGGCAAAACTGGGAAGAAATCACAGCACTGTGTATGCAACAAGGATTATGTCTGTGTGTTGCAATTACGTGAAGACATGGAGAGAGAAGGCATTTTGGCTAGCGTGGAGGCTAAAGCCCTCTTCACATACCCTGTAAACTGACACCTGCAAGACAGTAGAGGTATAACATTTAACAGCCATTCTTTTTGCAACTAAACATTAGGAAAGTAATTGGCTTCATAAGCGAAAATTTACACTTTCTTTTCCATTTGAGATTTTCTTTTTTGTATAGCAGGGTGGACTTTGCACATTAAATGTCATGTTGAGATTACATATTGCCAGTTCTTTTCAGCTGTGAATTTCATAGACTATAAAATTATTAAGCTACATGAGTTTAACTAGTATTGTTCTAGGGTACTAAGTTTGAAAACAAATTAGTTCAATTTGGAAACTCTCCCTTTTATTTATGTCTGAGAAGGGCCATTTCTTAATGTTTTCTGACACTGAGTGTTTCAAAACTCAAATCTATTATGACTATATGAATTTTTTGATTGTAGATGTTTATAACTTAAATATGTCATTGAGGGTGTTGGGTTTGGGTTGATAATGTTTTCTTGAGAAATGTAGAATTCTGAGTTAAAGCAATGGTATAAAAGAGAGGTGTTTGCAACTCAAGTGCTTCTCAGAAGAGTTGTCTTCCATGCAAAAGCATGAAAGCTATATTTAGGTATTCATTAGTAAAATAAATTTGGATAATATTTTTGGTTCTTACTAAAGTAATGGGAATAGTTTCATTTAATGTTTAGACCAGGTGATCTTTCAAGGTCCTTTTCAACGTGGGCTGTTATCAGACCAGACATATAAAATGGTTGGAGCAAGTAAGGATATTTTTAGAGGCAAGATTTTCAAAATAGCCTGCCATATTTTCTAAGTACACAAGAAGTTTTGAATCCACAACCCTTGATGGCAATTAGCGAGACTAGAAGGAAATACTGAAGCTAGAAAAGATAGAAGGGCTTAAACTCAGCTGCAGTGAGGAACCTACATTAAGTCCAGACATGCAAGCTACTATGCTGTATGGGATTTAAGGAAATAGTATGTCTCTTTTAAAAAAAAGTGAACAACTGACTTGCTTTTTTAAAGTAAAGATTAGGACTTTCTGTCCTTTGTATGTGTTAGCCCGTGGACTGGGGAGCATGGCTGGGGTGGATATCTGAAGTGCTTTGGATGTCCAGGCACTGGACTTTCTAAGACTTTGATGACCCAATTTGCTGAACTTTCATTTGGTTTTAATTCTGCTTAAATCCATTTTTAGCCACTGGTTTGCTTTTTTTTTTAAAAAAAAAAAATGTTATATTTTCTGAATAATACATGAAATAAATTCTACCTCACAGTTCTGCTGTTATGCAAATAAAGCAGTAATAACACCTGTAGTGGCTGGATACAAAATGGAACTGTAGCAAGCAGAATGTGTGTTATGCTCTCGTGTGGTATCAGAATAAAAATACTAAAAAAAAAAGTTAACTGCATGAACTTTTTAATTGTGAAAACATTACCTCTTTCATTTTTTGTTGGTTTTGATTGTTGAGGCAGTTGTATGTATGAAAGTTTTCAGTAACAGGAAGTCAGCTGTTCATCGGGGCATTGATTAGGTGGAATAACAATTGGGTAGCTCTTCATCAGCTACAGAAGATTAGTAGTGTGCTGTAATGGTTTCAACTTTAAGTTGATACATTAAATCATTAGTCTTCTAGATGTAAGTGAGCCTGACATAATTAAGTTATCTTAATCTCCAGAGATTTTAGCTTTCGCTAAATGTCTGAGCACTGAACTAGTTAACATGAAGCAATCACAACCACTTATAACGTCAACTTTATTCAACAAGGTTTGGATTTTTTTTCTTCTATGACACTTTTTTCTATATGACACTTTTGGACTGAAAACTGGATCTGCTTATATTTATTTTTAGTACAGCTGTTAGAGACGTATAGAAGAGTATTAAAATGTGTAACTAAATTATTTCTTCTTACCAACAGTCATATGAACAGTGCTTACGCAAAGGTGCTTCAGTCCATTCAGAGGATCATTTACCAGGAAGGGTTTGATGGCTCTGATCCCCAGGTACTGAAGACCCTTGTATGCTTCTATAATCCTATAACTACTGGTGTTTTCTGAATTTTCAAGGGTGTTGCAAGAAGGTCTTCGACAAAGTAACAAGGAACAAGGTGTTTCTAAGCATTGCTAAAGTAAACAAGCAAAGTAAATGGAGAGCGTGGTTCATATTTTAATGTGCATTTGGAGTTTTTACCTGTTATAGATATTCAGACCGTATGAGAAAGAGCTGTAAGCCAACGTTAGTAAAATGCATATTCTGTGCAATTAGCGAGTAAATGGATTGCTGAATATAATGTAATTAAGCAAAACACATTTTCGCCTGCAGTATTTTTCTTCAAACTATTGCTTTAGCAATAATGTGTTCAAGACTCTTGCGACTGAACTCTTGATCTTAAACTTGCAGATTTTTTCAATGTTGTTTTAACTGGAGTGGAGCGAATTTTTTAATGAATTAAATGGTGTGCATCTTTATGTAGAGAGCATTGAAACACGAGTAAAGAAATACAAATGCTATTTCAACATTACAAATCAAAACAACTTACCAGACTTCGAAAGATCTCTGTACTCTTCATAAATCATAGTGTGGGCAATCAGAAATATTTTAAGCTTAACAACACAGGCTGAAAGCCCTTTACTAATCAGTACCCTATCTATTATTCTTTGTCATATTCAGTAATGCATGAGTCCTTTGGAGTTGATGGAAATAAAATAATACATTTTATATCTTGATGCTTAATTGATAGGTAATTATCTTTACTGTTGTACAATAAAAATGTTACTACAGTAGAAGTTAATTAGTATAGATGCTGCAGAACCTCAAAGAGTATAATACAAGACTGTGTATTGTTACTAGTGGAATATCTTAAAAATCCCTTTTGCAGGGAAGATAATGTTGAAATGGATGTTTCCATGTCGAACAGTATGTTTCAGAAATGTTACCTGCATAGAACACTTGTGTGTAAATTTAGGTTATTTGTGCTCAGTGTTTAGGCTCTGCAGAGATTTCTGGGCGAGCTTGCCTTCCCTTTGGTGGCGGTGCCAGTCTGGAGAAGTAAATTGGTCCCTGACAGGCACCTCTCCCCACTCGCTGCGGTAGCCATGGCAACAGACATGTCATCCTACCGTACGGCACCATGCGCATAGACAGAGAGATGCTCCTCCTGTGTGGTGACAGGTCCTGTGGAAGCCCGAGAGCTTGCTGGCTGCAAAGAGCAGCGCCGAGTGAAACACACACCCTGCCAACCTTCAGCCAGCAACAACCTCCTACTGAAGAGATTGGGCTGGTGTTTCTTATTTTTCTTACAGGTTATGTCTGATGGGAAAATAGCACCTCTATATATTTCTGATTTATTTTTTTACATGTAAAAGAAAATAAAGGTTGGTCAGAGTCCATATTTTGGGTTTTTTTGATTGCAAGCAAGGAAAAATTAAACATCATGGAGAGTTATTTTCTGTACTTGTAGTTCATTCTTCCAAAATGTCTTACTCGTGTCAATAAAGCAAAACCAGAATTTGAACTCAGATGAATTTAAAAGTATGTTTGCGAAATGATGTATGTAAGTTTCTGGGATGAAGCTTTAAAAGGTTGAAAAAAGTGTCCTTTTTCAAGCCAATTTATCTATCTAGAAAGCCATTAGCGCTTGCAGAGTTGTTTCTGTTTCAAGGGAAATAATGCATATGATTTCCTGGAGCGGTATCTTTCTTTTAAGATTCCTCTTTTCCCCATGCATCGTCTTTCTTTGTACGCTCAAGTTTTATACATTTAGAAGCAGTGTATAATACACACCTCTTAAAAAATGTATCCAGAGTTGTATGTAGTTATGGCCCAGAACACACCTTGGATCTTTTTATCTTCCAAATCTATGAGAAATTCACCTCTCCACTACTACTCCGTATCCCCTTCTGTGTACTGAGACTTCAGAAGTACTTTTGAGGTACGATGAAGATTGTAGAGTAAGGACCAGCCTGTATTCTTCTGGACCTGTGTCCTTTCCTGTATATAGTAATAAATACAAGCTTCAGAGAAGTTTGTGCATGTATGCATTTCCCCTCCAAATAGATAATCCTTTCCCCTTTAGGTGGGTCCCATTGGCAGTGGTTTTTCATGAAATTTGGAGAAAATTCGAGGGCCAAAATGTAGCAGGGAAGTACTGAACTTTCAAGAGACTTACTGACTTTTCAGCAGATCCATTTATCAGTGTCTGTGAATGTCAGAAGCTGATGCCGTTAATGCTTCCTTTTTCATACTGTGAACAATAATCCTTCCGAAATCTCTAGACTCCAGAGGCCTAGAAATGTGTTGCTTGTTAGATCTAGATTCAAAGGAAATGTTTAACCTGACTGGTAAAACTTTCAGATATTTTTGGCTACTTTCACGTCAATATGCCAATGATACTTAGACTTATTACTCCTTTTTATTGGCTCCTCTTTATCTAATACCAGTATTTGAAGAGGGGTCAGAAGAAAAGTGAGCAGAATATGATTGACCCCAGCTGACAAAAGTTTGACATGATTAGGAAAATTAGTGAAAGCTACTGTTAGAGGTTTAGTAGACCTCTGATAAAATGGTTCAGCATCTCTAGGACCTAGTATAATTAGTTAACATTAACTTTTTATAGGACCATCTGCTGTTGGCCATCATAGATTAATATTTTTGACTGTCTAGCATTACTTTGTGGGCCTTAGGACAATTATTGCCGTTTGAGGTATTAGGCTGCAGAAAAGTTTGCTTGAAGATAACCAAAGCAATAATGTGTTTGTTCACACTGACTTGAACACCTTTGCCAAGAGCTATTTGGAAATTCAGGGTCTGAATGACCTGTATCCTAGAAATATCAGCATCAGTTTTACATCTTTTTTAAAACCTCCTGGTACCTCTTTGCTGATGATCAGTACATATGAATCCTTTCTAAACTGAGCATGGTTTTAATTCATACAGAATAGGACTTGTTTGTTGCAAAATTGTTTTGGGGTTTTTTTGTGTTTGACAACAGAGCTTTCATAGGTAAATGTATTTCACTTTGGAGCTCAAGCTGGGTGACTTTCAGGGTAATAAAGTGGGGGGCGGGATTGGTTTTCTGTTTGCTTGGAGTTGGGTTTTTTCATTCTTTATAATCAGCATTCTTGCTGCCCAAGCAAACGTTGTTCTAAAAATTACATGAAAAAGGTTAAAAAAAACCCAAACTAATGAGAGTATGAAAGAACTAGTGGTATATCTAAAAAAAAAAATTATCCTCCTCTATTTCCGGCTTGTTTTTAAAGATTATGAGACTTAAGCTTTTCTTATATTTTAGTTATGGAATAAGCCATTTGTCAGGGCCTTGTGGGCCTGACAGAATTATGCTGGTAGAAATTCTGTTACTGGCCAGATATTATCTGGTGTTTGAATAGCTTTGTCTTTTACAACTCTTATGATTTAATGTTGTGAAACGAGCATCTGTGATCCTTTGTATGCAATAAGAGAACTGGTATTCTGATGCAGTTTTTCCTCTGTTTGTGTGTTGTTCTTACTGATGTTCTTCAGAAGAAAATCTATTTTTCTCATTATAGAAGTTTCTGTAACTTTTATGTATGTTTGCTCTGAAATTTTGAAATACCAGAACACTTTCTCTGCATGATCAATATCCATTATATCTGGGTAAAACAGTTTTATTAAATGCCTGATTTCATGCTATTGCTTAAACACACATCAAGAAATGTCTGAATCTGCTCTGATTAGAAGCCACTAAAGAATATTAGACTAGCTTCTATTTTTCCTGTTCTTTTTAAAACTCTGAACATCCGAGCCTAACAAATATCATACAGAGAAGTCAGATCGTGTCATATTATCCTGTGCTATTATCCAGATATTGATGAGGTAGTGTAAAAAGTTAATTTTTCATAAGTGAAGCCTCAAAGCCTGCAAAGCCCGAGACTAAAGAATCCGCCAGAGTTAAAACATACATGGCTTTCACAAGGATTGTAAGCGAATTGGCAGATCAGCTCACTTTGTAAGCCATGAGAGTTGGATAAATACATGTGGCACTAACTGTTTTTCACAACGGAGGCTCTGTCTACCCAATATGGAGAAGGAAGTATTTATAAAAGTATCCTCTTGTCTTGTCAAAACCTTTCCTCTGGATTTCCAGAGCAGCTGTGCAGTGTTTTGTGCTTGATAGTTACTGTTCATTCCAGCTGCAATTCAGGATCGTGGAAACGAATATCTACAGTTTATCAAAGCACTTCAGTGTAATGAAAAATACCTGGAAGGTTTTATTTATCTAAACAAGTATTTTATATATATATATATATTAAAAAAAAAAAAAAAAAGCTGGCCTTTAAGTATGATCCCTGAACTCTAGAAACGTATCTTTGGTCACCTTGTGCAGGAAGTCTTTCAACAAGGGTGCTTATTGTCTCTCTCTCAGCTGATGATAGCAAATATACCTAAAATCCTTCGCAAAGATCACCAGGAAAGGTCACATCAAATAAGCAGCAATGAGATTTGTCATCGTGAGGCATGACATTTTAGTTTGCATAAACAAATTACAACTCCGGCTTCATAATCTGCCCCTTCAGAAAAGAGGCTTTATCTTAGCCACTGCCTCTGTTGGATGCTCTTCTGCCAGCGTACTGCAGGGCAGCAGCAAACAGTCTTTAGGTAGGTGACACACGAGGCCGTTTAGGATTTTAAATGTCAAAACAGCTTAGATTCTAGTACCCAGTAGCTAACTACAGCAGATCCAGAAACACTTATGTCAAGGGCTTTCAGAAAGGTGTAGTCCTTAAAAGACAATCTGCTGATGTCTCCATCAAACCCTGTTTCTCTGTGGGTAAACCTTCCCTCATTAGTTGACAGGAATGTCAATGATACTTACAGAGACTTTCACTAAAATAGTGAAAGGGCCGTGCATTGGTGAGGTAGGCCACCGACCTTCATCATTTAGAAGGAGCAGAAAAAGTGAAACTGAAGCAAATGGTCGGAATAGTCAGGTTATCAAAGTACCACAGCTGAAAGTTGAAAATGGAGGGAAAAGCTGTGTTTGATTACTCTCAGGCCCTTCCAGCAGACCAGGTTAGAGTTGAGAGAAAAGATTCTTTTTCGTGTTTTTTAAGGCAGTGATGGAGGAGAGAAAGGACATGAAAAATCATAGTATTATTGGATTTTGTGTCAGAATATACTTAGATTTCGCTGGTTACAAAATGTTAATTAGTAGTTCTTAGTATTTCTGTGCTGTCTCTTGCACTTGTACTTGCTTACCTGACATAGCACAATATCGAAGCAGTGAAAAAAATGCCATTCCATTTGTAATTTTTATAAGATCATCTGAGTCAATTAAACTATGATTACTTCAAATGTAATTATTATGGATATGAATTCTATACATTTTATTTTTTAAGTACATTACACGACATTTTCCTCTTACTGTTTAAAAAAATAACAGCTGGCTCTTTTTGTTTTCCAACAGAAAAACCAAAAGAATATTTTGCGGATAGGAATTCAGAGTCTGGGTTCCATGTTGTGGGGTGATGACATTTGTAGCAGTGATACTCCTGAAGATATTCATAGCCTTACAAAATTTCTGTACGTTCTCCGTGGCCTTCTCAGAAAATCTTTGTCGGCCTGCATCATCACAGTGCCTGCTCACCTTATTCAGGTAGGAATGATGTTTTTGCTACATTTCAAAGTTGACATATCAGTCAGCAAAAATTTGAAGTTTATGGTAAGAAAATAAATGCAGTTTTGGACATTTTGAAAACTTCTTATTCAAAAGGGCAAAGTTAAAACATAACTTCACTGCAGTGTTTCTCTACTTCTGTGGGACAGTTGTGCTGCAAAATCTACAAAGGCCTAAGCATAAAACCATCTTAGATACCGTTATGCCTTATGTGGGTCTTAGTCCTTTTTGAAAAACTATCAAAGTTTCAGGAACTGTAACAAAGCAAAAAGAGTCCTGATAGTAATCTCTTTTTTTTTAACAACATCCCTACACACTTTTTCACTGCCTTCAGAATGCTGTTTAGAGTTTCAGTACAAGACATTTCAGGGCACTGTCTTCATCTGTCTTACGCACTATAATGATGCGTGATCTTGTTTTTAAAGCCAGGAATTGAAAGATACAGGTTTACTCTTTAATGCTAATATTCCCTTGTATTGGGACCAGGAACAAACCAGTTATGGTATCAGAGTAATTAACCGAGCTGCAAAATGAGAAGCTGCTAAAAGCACCTTTCCTGAGAGTATATGGAGATTTAAATGTGTCTTCTGGAAATAAACTCTTTTAGGAAAAAGAAAAATGGAGGTCGTCTTTTTTTCTGCAAGTGGTAATGTAACTTACAAAAGCAAAACTATTATTCACAATGAACAGAGATCCTATAATTTTAGATATTAGTTTGATTTGATTATAGTAAAAAAGTACTGGATAAAACCTCATATTATGCAAAATGGTTTCATAGTAGATGAGTTTATCATTAGATTAAATCCTATATTAGTTAAGTGCATGACACTCACTTATGTATTGCATTTTGTAAAGGTGTTTGAGTACCTGCCGATGCTATTTATCTAGATACCTGATGTACTTACTGCTTTGAAAATGAAGAAACTCGATTTTCTAGTTTCCCCATTGCAATCAAAAGTGTATGAATATTCCTTTTGCAGTGCAAACCTCCATCTCCTTACTTAACTATTTTTAAATATTAGATGGGAGTTTGCTTTCAGAAAGGTTGACAGTAAAATTTAATGCAGTGAATAGAATTTGTGAATGTAAAACTAGGATAGTTCCTTTTACACATTGGAATTAACTGTCCGTAATTGGGACATACAATCGGTTTCATTGTAGTCTTTTTTACATATTATGTCAATAAAAAGTATGATCATATTTTAGAGAAGTCCAGAAACATCTCTAAGAAGTGAAGGACGAAGGGGTTTTTTTGTTGTAAAATTACCTGGGAAGTTGGTTTTGGTTTTGTGTTTATAAATTCCATATAAATCAATTCCTATGGAGTTAGGATTGAAATTATATCTCAATTTTAAATAACTGATTTTTTAATTTTAACAGAATTGTTTTGCAGTAAGTGCTAGAGTATTCTGAATAAAATAAAAAAAAAGAAACATTATTTCCAGAATCTTTGCTTAGCAGCGTTAAAGGAATGAGGGCATTAATTATTTTTTTTAAAATTGTTAAATTTCATGTATCCTTCTTTAAGCACTAAACTATGGAGAAAACTGTCATTAGGAGGAGCAAAGCTGCTGAGGGTTCCTTATACCCCACATTACTCAGTTCCCAGAGCCCTGCTGTGTAGTTGTTCCACTCTCCAAGAAGCCTGTTAAAGAGCCCCTGAGAGCATGTGTACAGCCCTCCATGTTAATAGTTAATTGGTGAGGATGGCAAGATGAGAGGACAGCCGAACATGTGGTCTCTCAGGCTCAAGCCGTAGACAGACTTTTAGTTATAATAACAGCAGCTGCTCACATTCTCACAACCCAGCTACTCACCATTCTGTTGCTGAGGTTTCTTGCTGGATTAAAAAAGTAAAAAAATATCTTTTCTCTCCAGCAGAATAAGAGAGAGGGATTTTTTTTTTCAAGTGCGTTTCAGTATATGTATTTAATTTGATCAGAGTAAGCTCTAGCATATGCTTTCTCTGTTGAATCTTAAAGTCGGTGCACTGAAAGCATAGAAAATGCACGCTATTTTTCTGAAGGTGTAGTAAATTCCACATTTATTCCCTGAACTACTGTTCCTGGTTTTTCTGTGTTATCTTTTTCCCTCCCAACTGTATCAATTAGGTGGTCTGCAAGTAAATTCTTCACCTGTATAATTTCCATGAAGGTAAATATAAGTTTGAAATGACATTTTAGTCAAGGTTTTGTCTGCATAACATGTACAGAAAAATAGTTTCATTTTTACCTGCTTTGTCTTGAAAAAATTGATTTTTAGTAGTGACTCATACTATACCTTGTCTCTGTCAGCCCCCAGTACTAGTTACTCCAGTGAAGAAGAAATAAAACTCACAATTGGTAGTACTGATTTTCAACAGGGACAATGTCTTTCCAACCCAGACTAGTTATATTTTTATATATAGTATATGAGTAATGTATATATATGGCATATATATGTATAGTTTGAGATTGGTTTCTTTTATATATTTTACCAAATACTTCACATGTTGTGCTGTGACAGGGAGTTCCACAAATTAAATCCACCTTGTTTCATTCTTTTTCAAAAAGTTTAATTTTGCCTTTACTTTTCATAAATTATATCTGTGTTCTTGGCTTATGAATCAGTAAGATGAGGCTCCCTATTGTATCATTTCTGTATTCTGATGGGTTTGTATTTTTTCTCATGCTGCCTCCCTAATCTGTTTTTAAACAGTCACTTTTCTTTTAATCATATTTTACTTTGTTACAGTAACATAATACAATAATGCTATTATTGTTTGTTCACTTTTCCTACACTCTGGTGTCTGCTTTGTCTCTTTGATGACTACTGAACATTAAACAGTGATTTTGTTCTTGATGCTTTTCCCTCTGTGGTACACATCCACCAATGTGGCTCTTTCACTATTCTAGCTATTCATTGTCTTGGATTTAATAACTTTGAATTGCATTTATCCAAAGATGATGCTCATTCACCCAGTTTGATGGGACACTGAATGTCTTCATAGTCTTCTGTAAGGCTATATTTTGGTAAAAGACAAAAATTTACAAAAAATCTGGTTGCGTACAGAGTTTTTTCAGAACAATTTAAATAAATTGTAGTGCACTAAAGAACACAGATTCTTTGTGTTTTATTGATGAAACTTCCAGTGCAAAAAGTGCATGGAGAAAAAAGAAAATTCTCTTTTATCAACCACAAAAATAGGAATACATTATTCTGGAAGAGGATTTCAAGGAAATGACACTAAAAACTTATCCAATTATGAATTTTATTCAGATGATGTGTGACAAGTTTTACTTGATTGATATTTTCTACTGATTGAACATACTCTTATCTTACACTGTCTGTCAGGTGATAAATATTGAGATACTTATGAGTATGATTAAAATAGCTGATGGGAGGTTATTTTTCAAGTCTTTCTGCTGCTTCTTGAAAATGCATTGTGCCTATGAAATCAGATAGTGCATTTGAAAAGGGAAAATTACTTCCATTTTTAAAAACTAGCATTGATCAAGGAGGGCAGACTGAAGAGGGATTTCATTTGTTGTTACACTTTCAGAATTTAAGGAATATTATAAGAACAAGGATTGCTTTTCGGTGTGTTGATAATCTATGCAGTTTAGTACCTAATTTAAAAAAAATAAAACCACAACAAACTTTTTGTGTTACACAGTGTGACTTAAAGGACTTTAATGCCACTGTTTTATACTTGAAAAAGCCCTAAAACAGAATTTAAAATATTTTCCTATTGTATTTTCTTCATTTTCTTTAATTGCTAGAAATCATTGGTAAATCCAAAAACATCTTTCCCCCAAAATACTAAATAATGTTTGTAATTCTGTTCCCCTTCTTCCCAATTTTGTGTCACTTAAGTAATATTTTTTGAGTAGATTATTGCTTTCACTGGGAGAAAGCGTAACACTTTTATTAAAGCCATCCTTTATTTTGAACTTGAAGCTGTATTACTGGTAAGGACTAACAACCATATTAGTCAGCATGTGCCAAGGGAAATTAATTGACTAATGAAAAGTCACTATGAATAAGTCTTGTTACAGAACCTGTCCTCAGAATCTGAAGTTCTGTTTAGCAAGGTATTTTCATTATTTCATCCAGTATGTTAAAAAATTAATTTCCTACAATATTAATGTTTTGATGCTGTGAATTCACTGAAGTGCATAAGTTACTGTATGTTTCAGTGTAGAAAAATTCAGAAACAAACCTTTTCACATCCACAGCCTTTTGTGTTCACACTGAGTAATTTAGCAGCTAAACTCGAAGTCAAGCAATAGAGTGCTTTACAATCCATTGCTAATATAGGATTATAAGATGTGAACTCCTATAGCTTGTGGATTTCTCACAGTTTGAAATCTTTATTCCTATGACAAGAGCTAAGAGTGATTGCCTGCCTTAGAACTCTAACTTCTGAGAGTTCACAAGTGTAAAATGCCAAATAACCTTCAAATGTATTTGATGAGGTAGCCGCTGCAGACAAATTTGTGCTGAGATCAAATGTCATGTAGTTTCTATATCATAGTTAAGTAAGCTTTGAAATTCTCCACAAAATAGAAACTATGAAGATGAAATGTTCTTTATATTTTCCTATATTGGGGGGTTTTGACTTGCTTTTTAATGTTAGATGTTGCTTTTTATTGTCTGTGGGAAATACAGTTTAACAACCATATAGAGAAATAATGACAGTCATGAGTTTACGACAGGTATTCTTTGGTTATCCACATAGATTTAGGATATGAATATTCTGGTTTGGATGTTCTAGATGTTCATAAAAGCATCTTTAAAATCATGATTGAGTAGGAAGTTCAAGAGAAGTATACAATTCAAAATTTAAATTGAGGGACAGTAAGTAATTTTGATTTCAATTTCTGTTATTGTTGATAGTATTTGCTAATCAGGTTGCAGAAGAAATAGAAATATTTTGTTGTTTCATAAAATAAATTTACAGTTGCCAACAGGCTGCATTATAACTCTACCAGGTTTGA